AAAAATTCAACAGAAGATATGTAGGAGTGAAGAAAGTTGGGACAGAAAAGAAACTAGAACTGCACAGATCCACTATTTTGGGAAAGAGTTCTCCCATTACACAGCTGAAGTGGAATCTTGCTGTGCGCATGAGTGGCTATCAAAACAAGTCATATTCGATTGTTTTGAAATCAAAATAAGTAAGTGAGCTCTGGAAAGAGGGAGATTTTTTAAAGGCTGTGGTTACACAACAGAGAGAGAGAGCCTTAAATAAGAAGTAATTTCTGGGCGGGAAGTAGCAGAATGGGATGAGTAAACACTGATAGCGCTTCAAGGTGGTGGCTCTAAGATAGGGAATTAGGAAACCACACAGCAGTTGACACACTAGGTAGGGACTGGTTCTGAGTGAAAGCAGTCTGTTCTGGTCGCAACCGGTTAGAAGCGAACTTCTCTCATTGGGATCGAAAGTGTTTGAATTTGCTCCAACTCGACATCAGCGATGTAGTTACTCACTCTCTCTGCTCCATCATTAGACCCGTGGATACAGTAATATTTTTCAGCTTTGAGTGCATTTTCAGAAACGTGAAAGATTGGAAGTTTCACCTTGTCGCGTTTCCTTTGTTTTGTCTTTTAGTTTCAACTTGACGTTAACTCTTTACATCCTAGAATAAGACTCAGACCCAGGCTTAAATATTACGCCTTTAGAGCCTTAAAGGGGAAGCGTCCAGTCCTTTAGGGCAGTTTGAGAATTTAGAGTGCAGTTTCTAAAATAAAACAGTTTGGACTTTTTTAAAACAGCTAACCAGCTTTTACTATCGCCATTAAAAGAATCAAAATGTTTTTGGTGATAGTAAAAGCTGGATAGCTGTTTTTTTAAAAAAAAACCCAAACTCGTGAACCTTTATCTGACACCATTCGCCAAGCCAACGTGGTTGATTTGAAAGTTGATTCTATAGTGGCCCAGCTATAACAAACCTCAGAGCAATTACAGGGATGGGCGGTAGTGTTGGCTTTTGTCAGCGACACCCACTCAATGGGTATGAATTTAAAATGTTCTGAAATAGGAACAGGAAAAGTTGAAAATACACAAGGTTCATTATTCTCTATCTGTAAAACAGCAATAGCAATGTTTAAAGTGGATTTATAAAGTTTTTCTGAAGAAGGGTCCAGACCCGAAACGTCAGCTTTCCTGCTCCTCTGATGCTGCTTGGCCTGCTGTGTTCATCCAGCACTACACCTTGCTATCTCTTTATAAAGCTTTGTGCAGGTTTAATATAACCGAACAAGTCACTGACTTTGCTGTGACAAACATCATAAGGCTTTGGGAAATATACTTTCACAATATATTGTCAGACAGATTAAACAGATAAATTACTCTGACATAACAAGGAGTAGAGCTGGATGAACACAGCAGGCCAAGCAGTATCAGAGGAGAGGAAAGCTGATGTTTCGGGCCTAGACCCTTCTTCAGAAATGGGGGAGGGGAAGGGGGTTCTGAAATAAATAGGGAGAGAGGGGGAGGCGAATAGAAGAGGGATAGAGGAGAAGATAGGTGGAGAGGAGACAGACAGGTCAAAGAGGCGGGGGTGGAGCCAGTAAAGGTGAGTGCAGGTGGGGAGTTAGGGAGGGGATAGGTCAGTCCAGGAAGGACGGACAGGTCAAGGGGGCGGGATGAGGTTAGTAGGTAGGAGATGGGGGTGCGGCTTGAGATGGGAGGAGGGGATAGGTGGAAGGAAGGACAGGTTAGGGAGGCGGGGACGAGCTGGACTGGTTTTGGGATGCGGTAGGGGGAGGGGAGATTTTGAAACTTGTGAAATCCACATTGATACCATTGGGCTGCAGAGTTCCCAAGCGGAATATGAGTTGCTGTTCCTGCAACCTTCGGGTAGCATCGTTGTGGCACTGCAGGGGGCCCAGGATGGACATGTCGTCTGCGGAATGGGAGGGGGAGTTGAAATGGTTCGCGACTGGGAGGTGCAGTTGTTTATTGCGAACTGAGCGTAGGTGTTCTGCAAAGCGGTCGCCAAACCTCCGCTTGGTTTCCCCGATGTAGAGGAGGCCACAACGGGAACAGCAGATGCAGTATACCACATTAGCAGATGTGCAGGTGAACATCTGCTTGATGTGGAAAGTCTTCTTGGGGCCTGGGATGGGGGTGAGGGGGGAGGTGTAGGGGCACATCTGCACATCTGCTAATGTGGTATACTGCATCCGCTGTTCCCGTTGTGGCCTCCTCTATCCATCTTCTATCCACCTCCCCTCTCTGTAATTTTATTTATTTCAGAAGCCCCTTCCCTCCCCTATTTCTGAAGAAGGGTCTAGGCCCGAAACGTCAGCCTTCCTGCTCCTCTGATGCTGCTTGGCCTGCTGTGTTCATCCAGCTCTACACCTTGTTATTTCAGATTCTCCAGCATCTGCAGTTCCTACTACCTCTGATAAATTACTCTACTGACTGCATAAATCCTGAGCCTAGCTGGGATCATTTAGATCTCAGCTTTGTCCCTTTATCCGTTACTGATACGTTAAATTGAAGCAAACAGGAGGCTTATGAGGAGTATAAATTGTTCAGCATGGACCAGTTGGGCTGAATCGCCTATTTCTATTCTGTAAATTCTTTCACACAACAATGACCTATATTTGTGCAGGTTATTTAATACAGTAACATTTCCCAAGGCAATTCACTGAAATGTTGTAAAGTAAAATTTGACACTATTAGGGGACATGATTTAAAAATTTAGACTAACAGGTATGTTTTAAGGAGCATCTTAAAGAAAGGAAGCCCGTTAGAGAGACAGAGAGGTTTCACAAGGGAATCCTAGGGGTTAGGATCCAGCCAGCTGAAAGACTGGCCATCCATGCTGGGGAGGTTAAAGTTGAGGATGGTTAAGAGGCTGAAACTAGAGGAGCATGGAGTTCTCAAAGGATTGGGAGCTGGAAGAGATTGTATGAATAGAGAAGGGGAGGGGGCTGAGCAACATTCCCACTTATTTTGTTTTCATCTATGCCGACCCTCCAATGTCCATGTTTGGCAGAGTCTTCCCAAATAGGAAGTCAATGCTGTGAATAGCACCAGCATGCCAATCTCAGAGCGGCTGCACAGCCACACAGGTGATGAAACTATGGACGGGTTTGAAAACAAGGATGAGAATTTTAACATCAAGGCATTGCTTAACCACGAGTCAGTGTGGACTGATTGGTGAATAAGACCTGGTATGAGTTAGGACGGGGTGAGGGCTGGTGAGAGGGTGGGTCATGCTGTGCTTTGGATGATGCCAAGATTTCACAGGATTGAATATGATCATCTCAAAACAAGTCAGGAATGCCTTGAAGGTATAAAGACATGCCTGAGGATTCTAGCAAGGGATGCGCTGAGGCAGGCAAACAACAGGACTGTGCTATAGAGGTGAAAATTGGCAGTCTTAGTGATGGCAGAAAAATGTGATCGGAAACTCACCACTAGATCAATTATAACCCCAAAGTTGTGAAATATCTTATTCAGCCCTGACCAGTCATCAAGGAGAGAGATGCATGATTGTAGTGAAATTAATGTAATGAAATATTAACCAGCCTTAATCTGGCCATAGCGTTTTCAATACCTTCAATATACATCTGACCTTTATCGCAGTATTTTTCAAAATTCTGTCTCAGTGTTAAAAGTCTAACAATGTTGCATCCACGGTTCCGTTCTCAGTAGAAACATGTATTTTCACAACATGAATGTGGTCACTTGTCACAGTCTGAAGTACCGTGTATTAAACATCAGAGGTTAAATGTTTCTGAAGAAGGGTCTAGACCCAAAACGTCAGCTTTCCTGATCCTCTGATGCTGCTTGGCCTGCTGTGCTCATCCAGCCCTACACCTTGTTATATCAGAGGTTAAATGTTGTTTAGATAGAACCTAGGCACTTTTCTAGCCAGTGTTTTATTTCAGCTTACACATCACAAAACTCCACCTCATGGATTACTTGTTCCCCATATATACCCAGTCAATTACCTCACCCAATAATCCTTTAACTAATACAGACCCATCACTTGTTCAACTTGGTCTTATCCCTGCTGTACATTACTGGATGGGGCCAAAAGTAAAAATGTCTAAACTGTATAAATATTTTGCACCGCTGCCCAATGACTCAAATAAGTCAATTGGTTGATGGCGCTAAAGTCAAACTGACTAGAAGCATGTTGACTGACCAAGCTCAGGCCAGGCAGCAACTGTTAGGATCAGAGTGTTGCAAATACCAGGTTATAAATCTCATTGCACCAACAATTTGCATTGCCTCATGCCTTTAGCTTAATGAAAACTTTGCAAGGGCAGCACTCAGGACGGTAACATTGAGAAACATCAACACTGTTATAAAGAAAGAGACTTGAGGGCAGGTGGCCCAGCGCTTGGTCAGAGGTAGGTTTTAAGCAGCCTTCTAAGTGTGCAGTGAGAAGCAAAGAGGGTTAGGGTTGGAATTCCAGAGTTTAAACACTTGGCAACTATAGGTTCCTATAGGGAGGTAAAGAAGGGACCAGAATTGGACAGAATGCAACCAAAGGATTCCAGTGGACCCAAAGGATTGTAGGTTTAAGGAGCTTCAAAAGGGGACAGAGTTAAGGTTTAATGAGGGAATTGCAGAGTCTAGGACCTAAGCCAGCAACGGTGAGACAAAGGCAATGGTGGTTAGGCAAGTGATATGGTCCTGCTGGGAACATATTTTAAGTCTAATCTGATAGCGGTCAACAATTTGCAATCAACCCCTTCTTCTCCACCTCCCTTATTCTAAAAAGTGAAACTTTAACTGGTGACTCAGACTGTCATCCTCACCCATGCAGAGCACAAGGCTTTGCAATTACAGCTGGAGGAACTGCAACCCACTAAGAAACCAATATAAGGGTATATTAATAGGGAAAGACAGAGTAGATAAACTATATCCTCTGGTTGGGGATTCTAGAATTAGAGGGCATAATCTGTGAATTAGGACTAGTCAATTCAGGACAGATGCTTGCAGGCACTTCTGTACACAAGGGATGGTAGATGTTTGGAACTCTCTTCTGCAAACAGCAGTGGATGCTAGATCAATTGTTAATTTTAAATCTGAGATCCATAACTTGTTGTCAAGCAAAGGTATTAAGGGATATTGTCCAGAAGCAGTTACATGGATTTAGACCACTGATCAGCCATGATCTCATTGAATTGCAGAATAGGCTCCAGGGGCTGAATGACCTACTCTTGTTCCTATTTATTTAGCGTCATAGTCATACAGCATGGAAACAGACCCTTCGGTCCAATCAGTCCATGCCTGCGCTTGGTCCATATTCCTCCAAACACTTCTTATTCACGTACTCATCTAAATATCTTTTAAATGTCTTTCTAAATCTCTTAAAAAGACAAAATTTTACTCAGGGATTGTTTAAAACAAACCCAACGACCGTGAAATGGTGATGAACGAATTTTCTGTTCAGGAGCCGATCGTTGCTCATGAAATACAAAGCAAAAATTCCCCATTGTAGCAATTGTTAGTACAGTCACTGCAAATCATCGTTGCAAAGATCCAGCTCAAACCAGATAGGCTTTCCCTTTCATCTGTGCCAAAAACAGGGCTTGAGTCTCGAGGTTACATCATCCACCGTCCCAGAGGTTTGATTGACAGGCGACCCCGGCTCTCCGTCCCACCCACAACGGCCGGCCCGCCTCCTGAGGGCGATCTACGTTCTCCCATTGGCTTTGGCTGACGTCCATCAGCCGCGAGGTGACAATGGAGCCCACAGCTGATTGGTGAACGTGGCTATCACTCACCGGGAGCTCCCTGTCAATCATTCTGGGTGTTACACTCCGTCCCGGGGCGTAGCTACACCCTTCCCCCCCAACACACACACACACACACACACACACAGTATATAAAAAGTAGACCGGCTGAAAGCAGCTCGGAGCGGATCGGAGCAGAGCAAGGGCAGGGCACGGGCGGTTGGAGCTCGCATATTCACCGGTGGCGACCAGCTGGCTTGCCGGATGGAGCCTTACACCGCTCCGTGCCCCGTTTGCCCGGCTTGGTACGGCAGCAACAGGTGGGTCCGCAAGTCCCGCAAGAAAGCCTCGGCCAACATCTTCCAGGACGTGGACCTGGGGCAGATGCAAGCGCTGTTCAGGAAGAGCGGGGACGAGAACGCCGAGGAGCGGGCAAGGATCATCTGGGAGAAGGAGAAGCACGGGGACCAGGACATTGCACAGGCTCTGATGGAGCTCAAATCCAGGAAGACGCAGCTCTTTTTCCAGCACCATAAAACTGGAGCAGAATTCTTGGGGCTGCTCTGGATGAAAGCCTTTAACAGACTGCGGTAATTATTTGCACTATTTTTAAAAGGAAAAAAAGAAACTGGGGAAAACCTGTGCTTTGTATTTTAAAAAAAAAACTACCTCAATTTTCCCCCCAACGCATTTGCATCGCTTTGGCTTTTTTTTTTAACACTTTTCGTGTTTGTTTCTGCAATGTTTTATATATAAACATTCTCATCCATGTTCTCCCAGTATCAAGGATGGAGGAAAGGGTTCTGAGTACGAATCCAGCGGCAGCGTGGAGCGATCGCAAAGGAGCAAGATTAAGCGAAAAAGACTTAGTGCTAAGAAATCCTTCAGAAAACTGCTGTAAAACTGGGATTGTTGTTTATGGAGGCTGGTGCGAAATTCCTCGTCATTAATTTGCACGAAATTAAAACAAACAATGACTGCAACTTGCTGGGGAGATGACTCGTCTGCATTTGTATTAATATATTTCGTTTCGAATACGAAACGTCTGTCTGTTCTGCCTTTGTAATTTTTTTATTATTTAAAATTCGAAACACTAAAAAAAAAGTATCTTTTGGATGACCAATTTCGTTCCGTTATATGTTTTCTGCATTTCAATAAATTTGTCAGAAAAAGTGCAACAAATCTTGTGTGGCTTTTATTTTACCGTCGGTAAGATTTGGGGTGAATTCTGCATCCCTCTGAACATGTTTCTCAAAACGCGTCATCCCTAAGGGTTGTGATCGAATTTGGAAAGTTTTTCAATGTTCCCATTACACACCCGGCTGCGAGAGGCACAGGTGGGGAGGGTGTTGAATGGGCATTTTTGCTGGAAAGGTGCAGGGGAAAACAAGCTGGGTCAATTTCACATGATGACTAGACTTCACCATTCTGCCTGCCATTGAGTAGAAAACTCACAAACTGAGGGTTGGACCAAGCCGTTGGGAGAACCCACTCGGTTAGGGTAGGGTCCCATTTATTCCCCCCGGTACAGTTAAATTTCTAAAAACTAATTCATTGTATATGGGTGCTTTTGGTAAGGCCTTCAGAACATTTTAAGAGTCATCTACACTGCTGTCACCTGTGTCAGACCAAGTAAGGAAGCCTATTTAAAACCTAACAATTTTGAAAAACATTTACATCCAAACAATAGGAGGACATTAAGCTCATTGTTTGTGTTCCACCATTCAATGAGATCCTGGCTGATTGATGATCTACCTACCTTTGGGCCATATCCCTTTAATATCTTTAAATATAACAACTGCAGATGATGGAAATCTGAACCAAAAACTGAAGCTCTGGAGGAGGGTCACTGCACTGGAAACATTTACTCTGTTTTCTCTCCAATGCTGTCAAACCTGCTGAGTTTCTCCAACAATTTTTGTTACTTGAATACCTTTGTTTAACAAGAATGTATCCATCTCAGGTTTAAAATTAATAACTGATCTAGCATCAACTGCTGCTTGTGAAAGAGAGTTCCTAACCCTTTGTGCATAGAAGTGCTTCCTGACATCGCTCCTGAATGGTCTGGCCCTAATGTTTAGACTATGCCCCCATTTCTAGAACATCCAACCAGGAGAAATAGTTTATCTACCCTGCCTTTTCCTGTTATTGTCTTGAAGACTTTGATCAAATCACCCCATAACCTTCTAAATTCTACAGAAAACAACCCTAATTTGTCGGGAAGGGTCTGGACCCTTCAGAATTTTTCTGAAGAAGGGTCCCAACCCAAAATGTCAACTTTCCTGCTCCTCTGATGCTGCCTGGCCTGCTGTGTTCATCCAGCTCCATACTGTGTTATCTCTGACTCCAGCATCTGCAGTTCTTACTATCCCTAATTTGTATAATCTCCCTTTATAACTTAACCTTTCAAGTCCAGGTATCATTCCAGCATTTGGCCTATATCCTACTAAACCCTTCCTGTTCATGTACCCACCCAGATGCCTTTTAAATGTTGTAATTGTACCAGCCTCCACCACTTCCTCTGGCAGCTCATTCCATACATTGACCACCCTCTGCGTGAAAACATTGCCCTTAGGTGACTTTTATATCTTTCCCCTCTCACCTTAAACCTATGCCCTCTAGTTTTGGACTCTCCTACCCTGGGAAAAAGACCTTGGCTATTCACCCTATCCATGCCCCTTAAATCATAATTTTATAAACTTCTATAAGGTAACTCCTTAGGTCCAGTCTATTCATCCTCTCCCTATAGCTCAAACCTTCCAGCCCCAGCAACATCCTTGTAACTCTTTTCAACATCCTTTGAAGTTTAACAACATCTTTACCATAGCAGGGAAATCAGAACTGAACATGGTATTCCAAAAGTGTATAGCTGCAACGTGACGTCGGAACTCCTATATTCAATGCACTGACCAATAGAGCCCAGTGTACCAAATGCCTTCTTTATTAACCTATCTACCTGTGACTCCAGCTTCACGGAACAGGATAGAAAGGATGACAAGAGAGGAGGGGGAGTGGCATTTTTGGTTAGAGATAACATTACAGCCTTACTTAGGGAGGATATTCCTAGGATTACATCCTGTGAATTATTTGGCTAGAACTGAGAAATAAGAAAAGGATAATCACCTTATTAGGATTGTACTATAGGGCCCCCAATAGTCAGCAGGAAATTGAGAAGCAAATTTGTTAGGAGATCTCTGTTTTCTGTAAGAACAATAGGGTTGTAACGGTAGGGGATTTTAACTTTCCAAACATAGACTGTGACAGCCATAGTGTTAAGTGCTTGGACAGAGGGTAATTTGTTAAGTGCGTATAATAAAATTTTCTTATTCAATATGTGGATGAACCTACTGCAGAAGGAACAAAACTTGACTCTCCCTTGGGAAATAAGGCAGGGTAGGTGACTGAGGTGTCAGTGGGGGAGCACTTTGGGGCCAGTGATCTTAATTCTATTAGTTTTAAAATGAAAAAGGATAGACCTAGTCTAAAAACTAAAGTTCTAAATTGGAGTAAAACCAATTTTGATGGCATTAGGCAAAAACTTTAAAAAGTTGTTTAGGAAAGGCTATTCATAGGTAAAGGGGTGGTTGGAAAGTGGGAGGCCTTAAAAAATGAGATAACAGGAATCCAGAGGCAATATGTTCCTATTAGCGTGAAGGACAAGGCTGGTAGGTGTAGGGAATCATCATAGAAGAATCCGTACAGTGTGGAAGAAGGATCAAGTCCACACCGACCCTCCAAAAAACATCCCATCCAGACTCACCACCGCATTTCACATGGCTAACCTCTCTAAGCTGCACATCCCTGGACAGTATGGGACAATTTACCACGGCCAATCCACTTAACCTGCACATCTTTGGATTGTGGGAGGAAACCAGAGCACCCAGAGGAAACCCACACAGACACAGGGAGAATTTACAGACTCCACACAAACAGTTGCCCGAGGCTGGAATCGAACCTGGGTCCCTGGCGCTGTGAGGCAGCAGTGCTAGAATGCTGGATGACTAGAGAAACTGTGGCTCTGGTCAAGAAAAAGAAGGAGGCATGTGACAGGTATAGACAGCTGGATTCAAATGAATCCCTTGAGGATTATAATCAAGAGGGAAATCAGGAGGGCAAGAAGGGAATATGAAATAGTTTTGGCAAATATGATTAGGGAGAATCAAAAGAGATTCTACAAATATATTAAGGGCAAAAGAGTAAATAGGGAGAGAACGGGGCTCCTTAAAGATCCACAAGACAGTCTACGTTTGAAACTGTAGGAGATGGGTGAGATGCTAAACATGTATTTTGCATCAGTTTTTACTGTGAATAAGGATATGGAAGCTAGAGAACCTGAAGGAATAAACAGCGATATTTTGAGGAGGAGGTGCTGGACATCTTAAAATTCATAAAGGTGGATAAAATCCCAGGACTGGTCAGGTGTATCCCAGAACTTTGTGGGAAGCTAGAGAAGTAATTGCTAGAAGACAGGAGGGTGGCTAATGTGGTGCCATCATTTAAGAAAGGTGGTAAGTAAAAGCCAGGGAACTATGGACCAGTGAGCCTGATGTCTCCTTACGCAACTTGCTATAAGTATTTTTATATAAGTACCTGTGAAGCACTTGGAAGTGATACTTTGTAACAATGATAATTTTTCATTGTCATTACTGAAACTTAATTTCAGCCCTAGATTTTTACTTAGAATCATAGAATCCCTACAATGTGGAAGCAGGCCATTCAGTATAATGACCTCCAAAGAGCATTCCATCCAGACCACTAGTGGCCCCCACCTATTCCTGTTACCTTGCATTTCCCATGGATAATCCACCTAGCCTGCATATCTTTGGACTGCAGATGAAAACCAGCATACCCGGAGGAAACCCACGCAGGCACGGGGAGCATGTGCAAACCCCATACAGACAATCACCCAAAGGGGGGATCGGACCCAGGTCCCTGGTGCTGTGTGGCAGCAGTGCTAACCACTGGGCCACCATGTTGCCCTAGGTTTTGATTATGTATCTTACTACAAAAAACATGTATATGCAGAATGCCCAAAATGCTACTGAATCCAACAGAAAGATCACAAGCAAGTCACTCAGATCATTAAATCCACCTTCGTGCACTCACCATCCCCTATAACAGGAAGGCAGAAATCAGGTAGGCTCTGCAAAGTAATGCTAAATTTGCTCAATTATACCGAAGTCGAAAGAACCGTGGATGCTGTAAATCAGGAACAAAAACAGAAGTTGCTGGAAAAGCTCAGCACGTCTGGCAGCATCTGTGAAGAAAAAATCAGAATTAACATTTTGGGTCCGGTGGCCCTTCCACAGAACTTCTGGGGATCCTTCTGAGGAAGGGTCACCAGACCCGAAATGTTAACTCTGATTCTTTTCTTCACAGATGCTGCCAGACGGGCTGAGCTTTTCCAGCAACTTCTGTTTTGTTGCTCAATTTTACACCTTGACCTAAAACAGTAAATGTTTAGACACATGAGGCAGCTATATTGTAAAGTAGTCAAATGTAAATTTCAGGAGCTGTCATGGTGGGATTTGAACAAGACCTCAGAGCATTGACCAGGGGTTCTGGCTGACTAGTCCAATTACATTACCACTACATATATTGCTGTCTTCGCTCTATCTGGGCTCAGAGGAATGAGTTGTGAGAAAACTTTTCTGAATAGAATGGTGAAATCTAAATTGCTGGTGGGGTGGAGAACCATATGTATAGTCAGAGGATTCAAGGACAGATGCAAGGGTGAAGAAAAGTGTGTGGAAAGATCAGTAGACCGGGATTTTAATTCAATACAATACCATGGGACAAATGCAGCATAAAAAAATCCTCCATCTGTCCAATTACCCCAACAACATGTTTACTCAGCATTGCTGAGCTCATTAACCTACACTGGTTCTCATCCTTATTTGAAATCTCTGTAGTCTCCTCCACCTCTACTCCCCTCTGCAAGAGTTTGCACTCATTTAATGTTAGCTTCTTGCGCATTCCTGAAATTAGTTGGTCTAGTTTTGTTGGCTGGAGTGTTAGCTTCCAATACTCTAAGCTCTGGAAATCCCTCCTCAAACTGCTCTCCATTTCCTTTAAAATGCTCCTTTAAAAACTTGGCACCTTGGTCAAACCTTTGATCAACTGCCTAATTTTCATTTGATCATCCATCAAAAATGTCAACTTTTTAATATCATTACTT